CCGGCTTGGAGCCTGGCCTGATCTTCAAGGCGTGCTCGACGACTTCTGTTGGAATGCCTAGCATGTCCGAGGGTCTCCATGCAAAGATATCTCTGTTGACGCGGAGAAAGTTGATGAGCACGCTTTCTTATTTGGAGGCAAGCGTGGTGCCGATGCGCACCATGTTGCCCTTGGAGCCGCTGGGGTCTATGAGGACCTCCTTGGCGCCCTCCAAGGGGCTCGAAAGACCTAGCCGACCGCTTGGGGTCAGGCGCTTCTTCGACGATCTCGTCCCTGATGGCCGCGGGCTCTTTGGAGGCGATAATCGCCGTGGCGTGTTCGCAGCACTCGACCTCGCACTTGTAGGCGCGCTGGAAGGAGGTGCCGACAGTGATGACCCCATATGGACCTGGCATCTTCAACTTTAGATAGGTGTAGTTGGAAACGGCCATGAACTTCGCTTAGCATGGATGTCCCAGGATGGCGTGGTAGGTCTCGTGGAACCCAACCACCTTGAAGGTAAGGGTCTCTGTCCTATAATTGGTTGAATTCCTAAAGGTGACGGGCACATAGATCTGCCCGAGTGGCATGGCCTGCTTTTCAGGCACGATGTCGTGGAAAGGTGCCCCGGTCGGCCGGATGCGCGACCGGTTGATGCCCATGGCGTCGAGCGTCTCAGCGTACATGATGTTGAGGCCGCTACCTCCATCCATTAGTACCTTGGTGAGCCGCTTCATGCCGACGATCGAGTCAACCATGAGCGGGTATCTTCCCGGCTACGGGATGCTTTTCTGGGTGGTCGGTCTGATCAAAGGTGATGGCGGACTCCGACCATTGGAGGATGGAAGGCGCGGCCGACTCGGCCGTATAGACCTCACGGTGCGCAAGCCTCTGGCGGCGCTTGGAGTCGTAGGCCGCCGACCCTCCGAAGATCATGAGGCAGCCGTCCTTCCCCTCGGTGTCGTCTGCTGCCGGCTTGGGCTCCTTCATATGCTCCCCTTGCTAGAGCCACCAGATAGGAACCACTTCATGAGGGCGCAGTCCTTGTATAGGTGCTTGACGGGGAATGCATGGTTCGGGTATGGCCCTTTGAGCATCTTCTCGAAGTGGTCTGGGGTACCCTCGGCGGGTTTCCGATCCCCCTTGCGGTCGATAGCGGCCACGAGCGAGCCCTCGCACTGCTGCTTGTTCTTCTTCTTATTGGGGCGGTTGGAGGCGCCTTTGCCGGTGTCCTCATCCTGCTTTGCCTTGCCCTTAGGGCGGTCGAAAATCGCTCCGACCGCCTCCTCGCCCGAGGCATGGTTGGTGGCGATGTCGAGGAGCTCCTTGGTGGTTCGTGGACCCTTGCGTCCCAGCTTGTGAACTAGGGACTCATAGGTGGTACCAGATAGGAAGGCTCCTATAATGTCGGTGTCGGCGACGTCGGGCAGCTCGTTGCACTGTCGGGAAAAGCGCTGGATGTACTTACAAAGAGTTTCCCCGGACTTATGTCGGTAGTTTTTTAGATCCCATGGGTTTCCAGGACGCGCATAGGTGCCCTAGAAGTTTCCCACGAAAATCTCCTTTAGGTCTGCTTAACTTTGAATCTGGTCAGGCGAAAGGTGCTCCAATCATGTTCGCGCCGAATCGGCCAGGAATAATGGAAGGTTGCGGATGATGAAACTGTCATTATCCACTCCACCGGCTTGGCAAGCAAGCTAGTAATCCTTGAGCCATAGTCAGGGTTCATTTCCCCAGAGTATTTTGGGATGTTGGTCGATGGTCGGTACCGTGGTGGGAAGGCGGCGCTGAGGATGTGTTGGCCGAAGGCCTAAGGTCCTAGTAGGTCAGGGCTTGGGCTTCGGTCCTTGCCGCTGTCGTAGCGTCTGCCGCGACGAGGGTGATAGCCGCGGCCGGCTTCCTCTATCTCGCCGCTTCGTCCACGCCTACGGGCATCCAAGGTGTTATGTGTGTCACGGTGGAGGCCGAGACGGTCATGCACCGGGGCCGCGGCGCGCCCCCCATCGACGCGCGGCGCCTAGTGGACAAACACGTCTCGGACATGTCGTCCTAAGGGCGCGTGCTAACTGGCGTCGAGCTTGCGTCGCCGAGACAGCGAGCTTTCCGCCTGCTGCACCGCCGCGCGCTCGAGCAGCGTGCGGATCTCGAGATGGGCTCGATGATCCTTAGGTGTCGTGGGCTCTGAAAGCCCTCAGAGCAAGGCCGCCACGGCGGTGATATTCTAGCTCGCCTGGGCGAAATGTGGGAGGGCTCCATCGTCCTCGATGATCCTCTGGTTCACATCGCGGGCCATGACGCGCGCATGCCCACTGTCTCTGTGGCGCTCGATCTCTTGCTTAAGCTCCGCGCGCTCCTGCTCTAGCTGGAGTCACGCATCCTCGAGTTCCCTATGCCGCGCCCTCAGCTGCTCCACCCGCAGGCGAGGTGGGGCCCCTGCATCTCCCTCGACCTTGTCGTCAAGGTCGTTTGGTGCAGTAGCCCCTCCCTTGTGGATGCTTTCGACGCGTCCCTCGAGGGTACCTGCCACAAAGCATTCTCGCGAGGGGTGATGGCTCCCCCTGCTGGAGTCAGAGTCGAAGGGCGACTCTGAATCTCCTGCGAGAAGGTCGTGAAAAGATTCCACGACATATTCGGTCATCCCCACGAACTCGTTGTTCGTAAGGGATGGGTGCATGCGCTGCGCCACTAGGTGGCCAACGGTCCTTGCGGCGTTGCGCAGACCAAACAGGAATGCTGTCGGGGCGCTCCGGACAAGGTATTCCAGGGAGAGCGGTTCCCCCCGGCAAGTTGCGTCATGACGTTGGCGAATGAGAAGGTAAGGCAGCGCAGGTCCTCCCGAGACGGTCAGGGTCCTAGGAAGGTGTCGGTTGGTGCTCTAGCCTTTCGTATTCGAAGCCGAGGAGCCGGTCGCTCCCGGGGACACGGGCCTCCGGTGCGTGCAGCCGTAGCTCCTCAAGCGTCTCGACGATCGCGTCGAGGCCTGCGGAGTGGAGAGGCTGGACGGCGGCGGAGGCCTACGTCAACTCTCCCTCCATCGTGACGACGAAGTCCAGGTTCCCGAAGCGCACGTGCGCGCCCGGGACCCAACTGACGCCATGACCAACCATCCGAGGCCTGATGTGGACATCGAGACGCGCAAAAAAACCCTACCTGGCGCGTCAACTGTCGGTGTTTCGAACCACCAGCCAGTAAATTTGTATATACGCGTCTGGCCCGGATGGTGTGCTCGGAGGACATAAGAATTTATACTGGTTCGGGCGGAATTCCCTACGTCTAGTGTGCTGCTGCTCGTGTTACCGGCACTAGTTTGTAGTAGAGGTTACAAACGGGCGAGACTTGAGGTCCGGACACCACTTGAGGTCGGACGTTCGGGCGCTAGCGTCTCCCTTACATTATACATGTTTGACCTTTATAAACCTGGCACACCTAGAAAATATTCCTGCCTCTGTCACTGCTTAGCAACCACATCCTGCTTTTAAATGGACTAAGCATGTCTGGCTGGTACGATCTAGGCTAAGGTCGTCAACTAGAACATTGTGGGTGGCAGTTGAATCAAATGAATTGGCTTTGAGCTTATCTGCTTATGTGAGCCTAAGTGCCTAACGTTTTCCTGTGGTATCCTTGCGACATTGCCGATAGAAGCACGACTTTGTAAGGATCATCAATCGTATGTGCCCTGTGTATGATCATTGTATGACCATGTGTAGTTATGGTGATTTACATGACGACACAAACATTAAGACTAACATGTGGGTTAAAATATGTTAGACAAACATGTGCTAAAATATGTTACAGATTCTGACATGAGGATAACTATTGAATCAACAAATTCAGAGCAAAAAAATGTTTTAAGCTAACAAAAGAAAGATAAGGGAATGCACATAACAAAAGATAGGGAAACTAACCAAAATTACAAACTGACGACTACTTAACTAAATTGACTAGTCTAGTGGACTACTCCTTGACTGCGTCTTTGGTGGAGCTCCCGAGGGCTCCGGCTCTGGCTCCGTCACTATGCATGTACTGTGGCGGGGCCTCTAATCATAGGCTCCTCCAGCTCCTGTCTGTTGCGCAGCTGAGCCAGAGCCCTTCCAGTACCGAACATAGTAATATACAGTGGAGCACAGGACGTACGCAGCGGAGCCGGAGCCGTCGGGAGCCAAACCAAATACGCTTTTAGCAAAACCCTCAAGATAGAACAAAAGACAAACGCCCTGTTTGTTTGGGTTAGTTTGGCTTATAAGCCATGGCTGAAAGTATCGTTGACTGATTTAGTATGAGAAAAAAATACTATTTGTTGATTAATAAGTCATGGTTTATAAGCCAAATATGACCAAACGAACAGGCTAAAAAGCAATTAGCATTGAAGTTGTGCTCTCATCAGATGGATTAGCTATATCAGAAAGAATAATGTTTAAGACAGGTATCTTGCAGCCGAATTGAGATTTAGCCGCAAAGTTGCAGGCGTCAACTGTAAGTTGGTGTCATTATCCGAGTCATTTTTACTATTACAACCGATTCGTTAGGTCAATCTGAAAAAAGATGAAAGCTTCGATGGCCTCCACGTGAAACTCGGCAGACGCAGTAACACAAAATATAGATGCTGGATACATCCAGTATATCTCCCGGTTTTTCAAACTTTGATAAGCAATACAACAAAGTTTTACTGTTAACCACAAATTAAGAAATTACAAAAGTTGGTGACCCACGAGGGTTACATTCTCCTGCCGAGCAATTAGAGCAGTAGCAGTATCCAACATCTTGTAAGGACTTCAGTTCTGAATTGGCTGTTGCGGCTGCTGCTGAGCTGGAGGGCCATGAAGTGGCTGCTGCTGAGATGGAGGGCCATGAGGCGGCTGCTGTCCTGCACCTGCTTGCGGTGGTTGCTGAGATGAACTAGCCTGTGCCTGTGCTGGTGGTGCTAGCATAGGCTGGTAAGGTGGATATTGTGGTGGGTAGGGCATGCGCGGTGGAGGCATGTAGCCACCATATGGTGGGGGAGGTGGATAGTATGGTGGATACTAACCATGGTAGTATGGTGGTGGTGCAGGATAGCCGCCCTGTGCTGAGCTGCTTGATGGCTGAGGTTGCCCGGCTTGCTGCGGCCCTGGTTTGCCTTCACTGTCCTGTGATTTTACTATAGCACCCATCCTCTGTGGATCCATGGATGGGTATAGAGTCCGCTCTGCTGCTGGTGGTGCTGGAATGTTGAAGTAGTACGATGCTGGTGCAGCCTGTTGCTGCTGCCCCTCCATCCCAGGGGGTTGAGGTTGGTCGCTGCTCTGCTGCTGAGATATGACAGCCCTAGGGAGCAGTCCTCCATGGGAAACCTGCCCCTGCCTCCCAGACTCGTCCTCCTCAGGCTTTGGAGCCTGAGGTTTGCCCCACATCAGCTACAGGCGCACACCCTTTATGACTAGCTTGTTAGCAAGCTCCTCTGCAGCCTTCTCTGCGCCTTCTTTTGTAGTATATGTCACAAATGAAATTGCACGTTGAAGTACCATCCTTATGGACTCAATCTCACCATGGGCATAAAATTGATCCCTCAAATCCTGCTCAGTTATTCTGCTATGAGTCCACCAATGTAGAGGGTCCTTATAGTCTCATCATCCGGAGGTGTCAGGGATGGCATCTCACCTGCCTTGCTCAAAAGTTTCAGTGCAACTGGATCATTAACTCTGCAGGGAGCAAGAGATAGTCAGAAACCAAGACAGAGGAGAGAATAGACATGGGAAATTTAGTAGAGTGAATAGATACATTCACCTAATAAAGGTTTTTAATAATGAATAATTTAGTTGAACTCATTAAGTAGACCTAAAAAGCATCAATGTTTGGCATATCTAGAGCGCAATTTTGGCTGGGATAAAGGAATCCAAGATACAGCTACAAGTTCAACATTTCAACCAAGTTAGAATAGTTTCATGACCAAACAGCATCTGGAGACATCTTTTGTCTGTACACTGTACATGTAAGCCTTCTATCTAAAAAAAACATCCGTACATGTAAGCAGTACAATTTCTACCCAGGTGTGGGTTAACTGTACAGATGCTAATATCAATTGCCGGCAACTAGAGAGACTTAATTTTGGTCTTACCACCTTAAAATCAACAACAACAGCATAGCCTTTTAGTCCCAAGCCAGTCAAAAAAAAAACGACAAGAAACAAAATAGAAGGTAATATGGATTTTCAAATACGTCGTCTAAAATCCAAGTCATAAAGGAAAAGCGTCCCTTAATAGGTTTTTGCTATATGCTCCTAAAAGAACTAGATGGACTACATGAACTCAGGAATGGCAACATAGTGTACTACTGATGCGACACAAAAGAGTTGAATGAAAAGTATCAAACCCTTTAAACACCGCAATGTTGACAAGCAGTCAAGAACAGAAAGCTATCTGATTCATTATTTCATATGATGAAATTATGAACGCCAGTTTTAAATTGCACATGCTAATCAACAATAGTGATTGCTGAAATGAAGCCTACAATACATGCAGAGAACCACAAAAAACACACAACTAAAAATAATGAGTGCATAAGCACAGCAACATACCCATAGTAGCGATCTTTAATGTTCTGCTGAGATAACTCCCCGGTTTCAGGCATCTCATGACGATAAGGGCACTCAGCTCCTCTTGTACATTCACCACGCACAAAGAAACTACAAACATGAGCTCTGTTCCTCTTGTAATATGGTGTTGTCCTCTGAAGTTTCAGAATGGTATCATTTGGACGAGCCTTCCCATACGAAGAATCATAGTCTATGCCAGCTCTGGCCTACATTTATGAACCAGAAATTCTCATTAGGAACAACTATTCTTAGGTCAAATGGAACAAACAAGAATAAGTGCATATAAGCAGAGAATAAGTGCAATTCGTTTCAACTATAGCAGATAAAGATAAATTACATCTAAAAAGAAGGCATATTTTGCTGCTGTCATACTTCAAGAGTAACCGACACTATGATACAGTTTACGGTGACATCATAGAAACAGTATTATAATACACATGATATCTTCATTTCAGATTTCAAATGAACAAAACAACCTGAAGAATACACAGTCTGTCTTAGATACTGGGTAATACGAAAGAAATTAACAACAGCATCAAGATTCAATGTTGAAAGAGAAACGTACCCTCCTATCATGCTCTTCTGCAAAATATTCGCGATTGACATCACTCCTTGGAATTGCATCATTAGAATTGATAGCGAGTGCTGTATCCCGGACCTGAACAGGCAAACCATATTCAAGATCCAGCAGGCAGACCTGGCAGACATTCTTTAGCTTGCAACATGTCTGGCAGATCTCAGTCTTCTTGTACCGCGCATCTCGACCAGGCCGCCACCGGAAGACAGTAAAAGGACGCGCACAAATTTTGCATTCTTTGTCATATTCAGCTCTTAACTGCAAAGAGAAAAAAAAAAGAGACAGTAAGCCACAAAATCGTATTAACATGAAATACTGAAGCAAATGCAAAATAAGGAGAGAATAATTGGAAAGTTATCCCCATTCGTGTATAACACCTACCTAGTACTACATGATGGGTATAGCATATGGCAAAACCAATTGGCTAGCTAGTATAATTTGCTAGCAAACTAATTTATCCTGGTTTTGCTAGCTAGTATAACTGGCTTAAATATAATTCTTGCAGAACCATCTTGTTAACTACACTATGCATATGGCAAAACCACCGTACTGCACTACTGATCTTGCAGAACCATCAACAGTAAGAGCAAATATTTTTCCCAGACTCCAAACCAAACAGTTACCTCTTTCCATTCCTGGCTAAGGAAGGTGAGGTGAGGAGAACCAAACGAAGCAAACGGCCCCTAAACTACTACTACTACAGCAATGCATTTCGCAGTGCACAATCCCGAAGCAAGCATCAAACATCCTCAACGATCTATTCTCATGTTCAACAGCACATCTATAAGAAACAACTTCACAAAAAAACCAATATGTAAAACAACTGATGCCACACGTGCACAAGATTCGACACTTAAACAGAAGCGTGACCTAGGTCCGGATCCCATCGAGCATAAGAAATCACAAATGAAAATCAAATCAAGAGGACCACAGCGGTGCAAACCGCATCACAACGCCAAGGAGAAGCTCACAAATCATTCAGGTAGGGTTAGATGTGTTACCATCCGGACGTAGGGGTTGTCGCCGAGGTATGACTCGCAGATGATGGGAAAGTCCGACCGCTCCCACCCGTCCGCCTGCGCGTCCCGCAGCAGCCGGTGCGCCATCCCCTCCTCTCCGCCGCCGACGAGGAGCCGAGGGAACGGCGCCAAGGGGGGCTGGGGGCAAACGACGAGACCCCGAGTCCCGACCGAATCTGACGGGCAAAGCGCGCTATTACCACCTCGCCTCTTAACACAAGTGATCTCTTACTGGGCCGGGCTTTACGTAGTATTCTACGTGGGCCGAGCTTTACGTATTTACTTACGTGGTCCGAGCCCACGTGGGAAGACGCGGCTGATTTCGGCGGCTTTGGCGAGACAATTTCGGCGGTTGAGGCGACACGGCAGCAGTGAGCAAAGCGTCCAGGTGCGGACTGCGGAGGGATGGGCGGCAGCGGCGGCGGCGGCGGCGGCGGCAGGAGGGAGGCGATAGAGCGGGAGCTGAAGAAGCTTCGGGCAGAGCGGGATGAGCTCGACGGCCGGATACGGCTGCTGGAATCGCAGCTCGGGGCGGTGCCTGCGGGAGTCAGCGGTGCGGCGGCGGGGAAAGGAGTAGAGGATGGTGCGTGCGGCGGGAGTGTCGCGTGCCAGAGACGCGTGGGCAACGGGTTTGCGCGGGACGATGGCCTCCCGGCTGATATGATCTACCGGTACAGCCGCCACCTCCTTCTCCCGGACTTCGGGGTCGAAGGTCAGTTGTTTCGTTTCAATCAGCACGGCTCCCTACCTCCAAAGTCTCAGACTTGCTTCCATTAATATGGTTTCCTGGTTGCTCCATGCCCCCCTTCTCTTGTTTACTACTAGTATATAACGCTTGCCTCTTCTGCTTCCGATGTGTCATCACAATTGCAGTATATTGCTGGGAAAAAAGGTGCAGTGTAGCAACCTCGTTTCGGCTGATCCTCTGAGGCTCTGACCCTTTGTCATCTATCTGGCAGGCCAGCGGAAGCTGTCACAGTCGTCGATTTTAGTGGTTGGGGCTGGAGGTTTGGGCTCTCCCGTGGCATTGTATCTAGCTGCTTGTGGCGTCGGTAATTTTCCTCTCTGCTGCGAAGTTTTTTCTTGAGGGAATCAGGAGGCCTACTGCAATACATATTTTAAATTGAAAAGTAATGAGTTAACCCAAGTGAAGTACAAACAAGCTTAAGAAACAAAGAAAGTTAACCGAATTAAACTAAGTTTTCTATCCATGTATCAATTAGAGGGAAGTAGTTCCGCTTTGCCCTCATGGTGAACAGAGAAAACTCTGATTTAAAGCTCTTGGAAGTCAAAACAGACGGTTGGATTCCTTGGAAAATTAGATCATTTCTTGCCTTCCAAATGCGCCAGCACATAATGATGATAATTTCCATAAAGAAGGGCATGTTAAGTTGCTGATTGAACTGATCAAGACATTCAAAAGGGTCCAGGTCTGAGCTTGTCTGCACATTAACTACTCCCTCCGTACCAAATTATAATTCGTTTGACTTTTTTGACCTCAAGTTTGACCACTCGTCTTATTCAAAAAATTTGTGCAAACATAGTCAAATTTAAGTCATTCTTGAAGAACTTTTATTAATAAAGCAAGCCACAACAAAATAAGTGACATTTTGCTCAAATTTTTGAATAAGACTAGTGGTCAAACTTGGGGAAAGAAAAGTCAGACGAATTATAATTTGGAACAGAGGTTGTAGGTTACAACAGGCAGAAGCAAACGGACAGATAATGAACAAATGCTGCAAAGATTCTTCAATCTGATTGTTCCAAAGGACACAGTTATAGCTAGGAAGATCCATGTTTTTTCCTTCTCAACAGCTGCCTCATACTCTGCTGTGAAGTTGTGTTTAATGTTAGTTTCTCAAGGAAGAAATTATATTTCTTTAATGATAAGACAGATTTCTAGACGTAGTCCTTCTCCTTGACAAAGTTTTTTACATATCTTATGTGTAAAGTGAATTTGTTGGTGGGCTCCAGTTCACTAATTTGTTGTATTCACTAATGTATCATTGCTTACAGCTTGTTATCTTATTAGGTTGCTTGGGCATTGTGGATGGTGATGATGTTGAACTGAATAACCTTCATCGACAGGTGAAATAATTTGGCATGTCTTCTGTCCCTCTTATCTAGCGTTCTCAATATTTTCTTTGGATTATATTTAAACACTGAATCATCTGCATGATGTATTCTTGTTGTTCTTGGTAACTCAATTAGAAGGGAGATATAAATATGCACTCATAAACTAGCAAATTTGTAGTGAAGTGAGAGAGTTCCGCTTGATAAAACAAGAACATAACCCATGATCAAAATTGGTTATTTTAACCTGTGGCGGTCATACATATCAGTGCTAACCTTGTTTTTTGTTCTCAAACTCTCTTAGATAATTCATAAAGAAGCATATGTTGGACAATCAAAAGTGAAATCAGCAGCTGATGCTTGCCGTGAGTAAGAAACTATCCTTTTGGCAGTTTTCTCTGCATTGGTTGCCAACCAAATGTACTATTTGATGCTACTATTTCACTATATCACATATGTTGTCTCAAATCAGGATTAATTCCTCTATCAAGGTAGTAGAGCATCATCATACTCTGAAGCCATGCAATGCTTTGGAGGCTGTGCGGAAGTATCCTTACAATATATGCTGTGACAGATACAGTATTTTTTTCTCAAAGGCAACGCTCTTGTTTTCAGCATTAACTAAAACAACCTCAGATATGATATAGTTGTTGATGCAACTGACAACCTTCCTACTAGGTATATGATCAGTGATTGTTGTGTTTTGCTGAACAAGGTAACTTTATTTTTGTTGTAAATGATGCACGCTATATTTGATATGGAATTCTTGCTCTGCCATGTTACCCCATCAATACGATATAGTGTAATATCTTTTTTATTGATTTCATGTATTCATGCATTGATCAGTCACTTACATTTGACCTACTTCTTGCAGCCACTTGTATCTGGTGCGGCATTAGGTTTAGAAGGGCAGGTAAGCATCTTTCTTGCCAAAGATATTGCACCCTTTTTACTTCACCTTATATCTTTCATTCATTCATTCATTCATTGTCTTCTCTAACAGTTGACTGTTTATCATCATAATGGAAGTCCATGCTATCGGTGCCTCTTTCCATGTCCACCACCTGTGGCAGCCTGCCAGAGATGCTCAGACAGTGGTGTTCTTGGGGTTGGTAGGTGACACTGTAGAAGCTCGTCATTAGTACAGTGGGCAAAAACTTAGATTTTTTTTGTCCTGTTTAAAATTCATCAAACTTCTTTGTTTATATGATGTGGACTTCAACCCAAATGGGATATTTTAAATCATGAGTTAGTGGCTCCAATGTTGTGTAATTTTAATATTTTTTCATGTCCATATTAATCCTTAATTATTCAGTGGCTACAGGTTTTTGTTGGTTCACTCAATGATGTAATTACTAAAATGGCTTTTTCTTCAGGGTGTTCTTAAATATTGTGGTATTTATTGTGCTTTTACAAGAAATCAGTGTAGACACCTCAGTTAAGTTAGCAATTTGTATAATTAGTTTATATAGTTTGCTGCTATATATGATTGATGCCCTGTTAATTACTTTATTAGACATAGTTTTGCACTGGTGTACTAACTACTGTTTTGTTTACTAGTTCCGGGAGTGATTGGTTGCTTACAAGCTCTGGAGGCTATAAAGGTTGCAACTGGTGTTGGTGAGCCCCTATGTGGAAGAATGCTACTATTTGATGCACTCTCTGCTCGTGTTAGAATTGTACGTGACTTTACTCTGTAAATTTATTGTCTTTGGATGCATGATCACAATTTATCCTAATCCCAGCACCATCGTCCATCGGGGGATGGCAATGCTGCATCCGCCTATCTAGTTTTAACTTAAATCTTCTTTCTAGTATATTTATCACAGATTGGAGTCTAATACAAGAATTACAATAGTGCGATAGGATAATGTTGCCAATCATGTTTTATTATAAAAGAATTGAAATTGGTTCTAACAAGAAAGTAATCCTTTATAGGATCATTCTCAGCACTAGTGAGAAAAGTGTGTCTTGTTGTTTGGTGTATGGGTTACGAACCTTTTTCTTCTTAATATAATGATACACAGCTCTCTGCCTGTTCGTGAAAAAAAGAGAGAGAGAGAAACTTTGACTCTCTTTTCTTATGGGAACAACCTTTTTCTACTGTGTTGTATCCTTATATGTGATGGTCACATCTTGATTGTGCCTCATAAAGTTTAGTTTTGTGCTTTTGATCCAATATATAATACCTTCGAGCCATTTAGATTCTGGGAACATAGCTGTTGCTAGCAGGGTTAACTCCCCTGTTTTAATGTTTTCCAGACCTTCGCAGAGAGCTGGTAACTAACGTATTCCCAGCACCAGTAGTTAGTTACAAACCTTCTAAAACTTTTAAAAGAATCTAATTGTGAAGTAGCCACTGAAGCTTTCGCATGATCTTGCCTGGTTTCTTCTCCAAGAACTTACTGTGATTTCCAGTCGCCAATGGCATTTAAAACCATGTTTGAGGATTCATCCTATTTGCAGGTGGTCTGCCATTAAGTGGATTATGGTCATCAATGTAGTTCTGGTCATCCTGCAAATTATTAACAGCCTTTGGTCCTTCGAAGTTGTTTGCATTGCTTGGACGCAAGCTATAGGACTGTCTTAATATAGCTCATTATCATGTCTACGTATATTTGCAGGTTAAGCTTCGTGGAAGCTCTCCAGATTGCACCCATTGTGGCAAAAATTCCTTTTTCACGGAACAAGATTTTCAGAAGTTTGACTATGAAAACTTCACACAATCACCAATGTCTGATAAGGTAATGTGAATGGATGCAGTTCAGATCATATCAAGAATGATCTTGACATCTATGTGTCCTCATCCACTGTTACATTTACTGCAGGCAGCACCAAGTGTGAACATACTCCCAGAGAGCGCCCGAATCACTTGCCAAGATTACAAAAATCTGGTCGACAATGGTGAACCTCATCTATTGTTGGATGTACGACCTGCACATCACTTCCAAATAGCTTCGATTTCTCCATCTCTGAACATCCCGCTCTCCATGTTGGAGGAGAAGCTGCCTACACTTGAAACCTCACTGAAGGAAACAGGAGAGGCGTCAACCTTGGTTGTCCTGTGTAGAAGAGGCAATGACTCTCAAAGAGCCGTCAAGCTTCTCCACGAGAAGGGATTTGCCTCAGCGAAGGATATCATCGGTGGGCTGCAGGCGTGGGGACGAGATGTTGATCCTGATTTCCCTGTGTACTAGCGAAATGGATGTAACGATTATCTGGCGCCTATGAGGATTCATGCTCAAGGTCAAACGTTTACATAGGACACCAGCTTGTGGTGGTGAATTCAAGATTGTTTCCCACGCGGTTAGCTATTGTTCTCGGCTTAGAATGACCTACTTGTTTGAGTTCCTACCTTGTAACAGTTTGAATGCCGTCAGAGATGCTGCTGTTGCAAGAACGAGAACTCTGATACTATTATTTGAGTACTAATTTTACAATACCGTGTACTTGTAACAAAAAAATTCATGGAAGACTTGTATGTTAAATCCACGATGGCTCATGCCATGGACAAAATAATATTTGAGCTACAAAATTACTTTAAAGGCAGCAGATCAAAAATAAGTTTTGATCTTACGATGGGGAGAACTTTATCATCAATCAAACGGCAAGAAATGTTCAGTAACGTAAGGTCATGCACATGTTTTTTTTAAAAAAATCACGAAGTCACTGAAATTTCTGCTGCGTATTGATTTCTTTACAAAATTTGAAGTGACTATAATCTACCAAAGAACACAAGTTGGGCATTCAATTTACAAGGAAGTCTGTTGGGGCTTAGGGCTCAAGAACACTGGATGGTGTGCATTGGACAACAGATGTGTGTGAGGTTGCCGCAGACTTCAAAGGCAGCAGTATGGCCTAGATATTCTGATCGTGCTATTGCCACCCTCTGGTTTCATATTTCTTCTATGGCGGCAATTGTCTAGGATTTGCTGGCTTGCATTCCAGAATTTCAATTCCAGACAAACCTTGTTTTAGTGTTCAAAAACAAAAGCAGTATGCTATCTGTTACTGTGGCCTTTTCAGGTGCAGCACATCACTTCTCTGGCTTTGGTTGATCATCCATTCCTTCCTCGCATTCCTTAAGAAGTCTTTCTACTGAAGGATCATAAGCAATAGCCATCCGCAGATATTTGGCAGCCTCAGAATTCCGGCCTTCTCTAGATAATATACTGCAATAACCAATGTCAGCACGTTTAGCAACTGTCCAGCATTTTAGGAAAGCAGAGCCACATAAATAAAATCAACAATGGAGTTGAACCACAGTGTGTGGCTACATGCTACATGCTGGGCCAAGCTACCCTCTAGAATTAGGTTACTGGTAGCCATAGCGCATCGTATCGATGGACCATTTGTAACAGAATGATCTATAAAAGGACTTTACCTTCCCAAAGTAAGCATCCCTTGGAAGTAGCAGGTTTTGTTGATGGGCTTTTCCGGTTCCTTGAGCTCTGCTATTCTCTGCAGGAGTTTGATTGCGGTCTCATTATCCCCCTACATTGGAAACCGAAGCAATGCTTATGTTGTTCACTCTTATTCCAAATGTTTTTATAAACTGAGTCCAAATGCAGCATTACTCTACCTGACGCTCGTTTGAAAGACCTGCCCCGAAATATGCAAGCACAAGAAGAGGGTCATCTTCTTGAATCTACACAATCGAGAGCATTGAGTCTTACTAAATTACTGTCTCAGATCATGAAAATCGTCTGAGGTAACAACAGACCTTTGGTATAGCATGTTCAAAACAAACTGCAGCTTCAGGAAACAATTTATTTGAGAACAGGGTTTGTCCCATTCCAATCAATGCCACAGACAGATCTGGGTTTCTCTCTACTGCTGTCCTGTGTGCAACATTGATCACCAACTCCCATTGTTTGCAAATGGAATAGCCAACAATTGATTAGACAAAGCACAACACCAACTTACCTGATCAGTGGAAGAGCTTGATCTCGGCAGCCAGTCCCCAGATACTGTAATGCTTGCTAGTGATGAACATATATGTATATGCATCAGAATTCATACCGGAACAATATTCCAAGACAAAACAATTGTGTAAACATTCATACTTCAAGTAGCTCCTCAGGTGAACTGGACACAGATATATTTCCTTCCATACTTTCCATTACAAAATTAGGAGCTGTACTCTCACTGGCAGTTCCCTTATCAGATGACATCGATTTCGTTTGCATGTCAGCATCTTCAAGCAGTGGCCTCTGTAAATTCATGATAACTTCAGCATCATGATTCAATTGCACATAATGAAAATAACAAGAGCACAAAAAGTAGATGGGCATGCCTGCATCATCTCAGGTACCTCAAGAGGTGACTTTTGTGCTCTGTAACTAACCTGAGCCCTAGTATCTGGCAATCCCAACAGCTTGCGGGCAGCATCATTTCTCAAGGACAATTGCTGCGATTTAATCATTTGAAAAAAAACAGAATGTAACATTAAGTACACAATGCTGACTTCGCGGCATCAAGCTTGTTCAAATTAAATTGCATGGAACCTGATCTGCTCAAAGGATAGAAATAGGAAATTAATAACAAAAGGGGGAATTCATAAGCATTTTTTCCTGTTGGAGTTTACACAATAGCAATAGAGGTTGGGATGCATCTATCTGTTCTAAGCAACTTCTTCGGGATTCTTGACAGCCGTTGCATTATCATACCATCTGCTGTGGAATATTTAGTATCTCCGTCAAGGTGTTCTTAGGATCATATATTAGCCTTCACTTGCTGATTTATTGGGAGCATAAGCATAAAAATGCTACAAACTTACAACACATACCTACCATGTTGATATTTGAACATGTATTTGATCAAAGGCAACCCAACCCCCCCCCCAACACCCAACAAAAAAACAGAAAAGAAATGAGATAATTCTACCAGAACATGTGATCCATCTTCCCTATTTTTTGGATGAGGTTTACTATTACTTTACCACAAAAATCATATTGAGATTTAGGCATAGAGTTACTAAGAAAATAATACAAGATTATCACAAATTCACAATATATCAAATTGAAAAGGAAATGACTTCATAATACAAGTAAAAATTATGCTCTAACCTGAGCTACAGAAAATAAACTATTCGTAGTCCAGTAGACCAGGCTTCCCTGCCAATCAAAGATTACAAAAACCGGAATTCAGCATCTGAATTGCTATTTGGGTGAAACAAAAGTTGCACACAAGTGTGATACTTCTTCTGCAACCAGTTTGGCTATAATAAGCATGTTGGTGTAGCAAAAATATCATTGACTAAACAATTTCGTGCAAATTAGTTCACATCATCTCACAATGTATGAGTATTGTACTTTTAGTTTCAAAATCCTACGAAAAGAAATTAGGTTTTGCCACAGCCCACAGTTCTGCACAACCTGCTTTCCCTCTCCAGATGCAATATCTTATTCATCCAACTGTGTCTAGTTTGCTTCTGAGAGCACAAGCAGAAATTAGTGGTGTCTGCCTGTCATTATTGTGATATTAGAAGGATTGTAATGTAATGCGAATGGAACAATGTGCCTAATAGAGTGTATTGCTGGAAACCAATGCAAATACTAAAGCATCTACAATGGTTATGAAATTCCACAATAATAATTAGGCCAATTTATTGCCCAGCAAACTTGAGAACAAAATCTGGAAATGCTAATCGACCACACAGCATTTGTCCGCAAGACCGAAACCACATAAAAACAAAATGCAAGTATCTGATCGGAGGAATCACATATGCAATAAAGCAAAGGAAAAATGCAAGTAACTGACCTGAGGAACCATGTATGCGATAAGAAACAAAGGGATAGTCAGGACATCGAGGTATATTCTATAGTACTACAAACAGGAAAGAAATATTTTCAGAACAAGACAGATTTACATAAAAGTAGCGAAAATAGAAAACGTCCAAAGTAAACAGTCAACCTGAAATAAATTCACAGGTATCTCAATGGACCTCACTAAAGAGGGAAAAAAAATCTTAATACCTAATTGTAGACATCAAGGTTGAGAGCAGCCCACCGAACATAATTCATACCTCTAACTCTAAGAATGGTATTATGCGTATTCATATGTACCAACCATAGCTCGTACTTGGGTATAAATCGGGAGGTCAGTATAGCAACCACATCAATCATACAAATGCAACAACAATGCCCCATTTGGCAGTGGTGGTTCCAGTGCAATGTAACAACAGAAAGAAAACAAGTGGGAGACAGTTGTAATCATAGTTGTTAAAATCTTGATTCTATCATCTAACTTTACGACTTTATGACCTTAGTTGATTGCGTTGATTCTATGATTCTATTAAATAGAATCTACAATTTTGTGATTCTAGTAAGTTATGATCGATTTGCGATCCTACCGGTGGAGTTCCAATCAGATTCAGGATTATGATTTTAACAACCTTTTTTTGAGCGGAAAATACAGCAGGGGAGGAATGTAGGGTTAGGAGGCTGGAATGTAGGTAGCTGGAATATAGGGTCCCTTACAGGTAAGTTAAGAGAGTTAGTGGACACAGCGGTTAGGAGGCGTGTAAATATCTTATGCGTCCAAGAGACTAAATGGAAGGGGCAGAAGGCGAAGGAGGTGGACAATACCGGCTTCAAGCTCTGGTACACAGGGACAACTTCAAATAAAAATAGAGTTGGAGTTTTGATTGATAAGAGCCTCAAGGATGGTGTGGTGGAGGTGAGAAGGCAAGGGGATAGGATCATCTTAGTTAAACTTGTCATTAGTGATATGGTCATAAACGTAATTAGTGCGTATGCCCCCCAAGTAGGCTATGATGAGAGTGCTAAGCGGCTTTTCTGGGAAGACTTAGATCGCTTGGTTAGAGCTGTTCCTAGTAGCGAGAAGCTCTTTATAGGAGGTGATCTTAATAGCCATGTAGGTACATCAAGTGCAGGTTTCGAGGCGGATCATGGGGGTTTCGGATATGGTAGTAGGAACCAGGAGGGAGAGAAAGTCTTAGACTTCGCCATAGCTTTTGATCTAATGATAGCTAACACTTTCTTCCGTAAGAGACAGTCCCATTTAATGACCTTTAATAGCGGCCAGTACTCTAGTCAAATCGACTGTCCTTACAAGGAGGGATAAACGAACATGCGTGAACTGTAAGGTGATACCTGGAGAATGTGTGGTCGTTCAACACAAGCTGATGGTGGCTGACTTCTGCTTTCTGATGCAAGCTCGTGGGAACAAACAAGCTAGGGTTGCTAGAACGAAGTGGTGGAAATTAGAAAGGGAGGCATCAAAGGTCTTTAAGGAAAAGATCATTGAAGAGGGCCGTTGGAATGATGAAGACGATGCAAACAGCATGTGGGAGAAGATGACAACATGCGTTCGGAAGGTTGCTTCAGAGGTGCTTGGAGTGACCAAAGGGAGCGGATGCGACTCGAAAGACACTTGGTGGTGGAATGAAGATGTGCAAAAGGCTATTAAGGAAAAGAAGGAGTGCTATAAACGCTTGTATCATGACAGGTGTGCAAACAACATAGAGAAGTACAAGGTGGCAAAGAAGACTGCAAAACAAGCGGTGAGTGAGGCAAAGAGGCGGGCCTATGAGGACCTTTACCGACGTTTCAATACAAAGGAAGGAGAGAAGGACATTTATAGGATGGCTAGGGCTCGCGATAGGAAGACAAGGGACTTCAACCAAGTCAAGTGCATAAAGGATGAGAGTGAGCAGTTCTTGGTGAAGGAGGATGAGATCAGACATAGATGGCAAGAGTATTTTGATAAATTGTTCAATGGTGAGAACGAGAACACCACCGTTCAGCTGGACAACTCGTTTGATGACACTAACAAGCGCTTTGTGCGGAGAATTCAAGAATCGGAGGTCAGAGAAGCCTTGAAAAGGATGAAAGGGGGCAAAGCGATGGGCCCTAATGGTATCCCAATCAAGGTGTGGAGATGTCTCGAAGATATAGCTATAGTATGGCTAACCAAGATGTTCAACAATATCTTTCGATCGAACAAGATGCCTGAGAAGTGGAGAACAAACATATTGGTACAATCTACAAGAACAAGGGAGATATCCAAAGTTGTACTAATTATCGGGGAATTAAGTTGATGAGACACACTATGAAGTTATGGGAGAGTCATCGAGCAGCGCTTGCGAGGAACGACACAGATATCAACAAACCAATTTGGTTTCATGCCCGGAAGGTCAACCACAGAAGCAATCTTCTTAATAAGACAGGTTATGGAGCGGTTTAGAGAGCAGAAGGACCTCCACTTGGTTTTCATTGACTTGGAGAAGACTTATGACAAGATACCAAGAAATATTATGTGGTGGTCTTTGGACAAACATAAAGTCCCATCCAAGTACGTGACCCTCGTCAAGGACATGTGCAACAATGTTGTGACTAGTGTTCGAACAAACGATAGTAACACAGATTACTTCCCGATTAAAATTGGACTTCATCAAGGGTCAGCCTTAAGCCCGTATCTCTTTGTCTTGATAATGGATGAGGTTACCAGGAACATAAAAGGGGATATCCCTTGGTGTATGTTGTTCGCTGATGATGTAGTATTAGTGGACGAAAGCCAGACGGGAGTAAATAGGAAACTAGAGTTATGGCGGCAGAGCCTTGAGTCTAAAGGTTTTAGATTGAGCAGAACTAAAACTGAATACATGAGATGCGACTTTGGCGGAGTTGTACAGGAGCAGGGAGATGTGAGTTTGGAAGGTCAAGTAGTGGCTAAGAAGGAAACATTTCGGTATCTGGGATCGATGCTACAGAGGGATGGAGATATTGATGCAGACGTTAGCCATAGAATCAAAACAGGGTGGATCAAGTGGCGACAAGCTTCTGGCATTCTCTATGACAAGAGGGTACCACAAGCTAAAAGGCAAGTTCTATAGAACGGCGATTAGACCGGCTATGTTGTATGGAGCAGAATGTTGGCCTACAAAGATTCGACATGTTCAACAACTGAGTGTTGCAGAAATGCGTATGTTGCGATGGATTTGTGGTCACATAAGAATGGACCGAGTTCGGAACGATGATATACGTGATCACCTAGAGGTAGCACCAATTGAAGAAAAGCTTGTCCAACATCGGTTGAGGTGGTTTGGCCATGTCCAAAGGAGACCTCCAGAGGCACCGGTGCATTGTGGAGTCCTAAGCCAAGCTAATAATATGAGAAGTGGAGGAAGACCGAAATTGACATGGGGGGAAACAATAAAAAGAGATTTGAAAGCTTGAGATATACCTAAAGATCTATGTTTGAATAGGAGTACTTGAAAAGCAGCTATTGAAGTGCCTGAACCATGATTTGGAGCTTTTGGTGGGTTTCAACTCTAGCCTACCCCAACTTGCTTGGGACTGAAAGGCTATATTGTTGTTGTTGTTGTTGTTGAAAATACTGCAGGGGAGGCCCCCACTATAAACTTTTTATTAAACAAAAACAACACCAACTCTATACAAGAAGAAACAAAAAGGGAAGCATGCCTGAGGAGGGCAACAGAGCTAAACTAGAGCAGCTGTACAAGAAAGGAAGACAGAGTGCTTAACAGAACTGAACCCTAAACCCAGAACTGAATCTATGGGATTTTAACAACCTTGGTTGTAATGCTAGTAATATTTACCATCTAAACCCCACAAGTGTTTCATTGACCTCCACTGATTGCCACCAAACAAGTAAAAGGGGCAGTTCATCATCATTAGTCCGATAATTTACTCCACATGACACCCTGCTGCTGTCAGGGGCTCAGGACCATCCAACCCTGTCCAAAACACTTCATTTCATCAATTGTAGGTACCCCCATGATCCATGTAAGCTAACAACATCATATGGGCCATAGCTCCTAAGGCCAACTGCCCAAGTACACTATACACATCATATATACTTAGATTAAAAAAGAACACTTGATTTTCTGATTGATGGCCACCATCCATGTTCTTTACTCTTCATTACAAAATCTGAGTAATGGGTTACTTATACTGATAACTTATTAAGAATTTACAACAGCTAGTCGACTAGCTACATGTATCCCTGTGATTGGTTTTCTGGATCATACCTTAGCCAGCAAGCCAAAAATTCCTGGATGATCCTTGATCTGGGACCCCTGAAAAGAAATCTGAGACAACAGATGAAGTCAGTCTCAGGGAGAGTTTAGAACAAACAAATTCCTACTAATAGCTTCATAAGATTACAAACCATCATTGTTGATCTACTTAGCAAAAAAATAACTTAACAATGTTTCTATTTAAACAAAAGGTTTTATAAGAACATGGCCAAACTTAATGCATATCACAGTGCTGACCCCTGCCCCTCCCCCCAGGTTCTACGTTTGGAAAGATCTTTTGAACATTAACACACAATAAGACCAAAAATGATTGTCAGAAACCAAAATCACCAGTTCACACCAACCTATAATCCATCCAACAAGTTAACCCTTACTGCACTAGTTTAATCTAAGCTCATAATAGACCCTCAATGTTGCCATCGCTTGTACACCAACTTTCTTGCATGATTCTTAACCACACGTTGTATGTGAAATTCAAATTAATTATCACACAGTGAGAACCTACCAGAAGGAAATTAACCCAGTCATGAATTTTAACTTGTTACACTTTCCGTGTATTGGCCTGGTACTAGAGACTAGACTTACAAAGCAAAAGGAAACACATTGTAAAGGGAGAATAGTAGACAAAGCCATTGGCAAGAGAGTACCTGAACATTTAGGTAATGCAGACCAGCAACTAAGATAGGAAAGATGGGACCTAAAGTGCCATGTGGAAACTCAGACAAGTTATGGAACCACAGAATCCCACCCTGTTTAGTAGTACAGAAATAAACAATAGGAAGTTATATCTATATTTAATCAAAATGAGTTAACCACACAGCGTAATAGTATGAATATAATCCTTGCAAAAAAAAAAGTATGCTTCACAAACAGGATACACTTGCCATTAGACAATGAATATCTGGGAAATAAATGGTAACTATAGTACCATACTACTATCAATACTAGCATATAGTTTGATATGTTTTTGGCTTTTTGGCACATCAAGTCTAAGTGTTGCCCATATGTCCTTTCTTCTCTTGTATATATACCAGTTTTCAACTCAATACAACTTATTTGTTGAGTGCCTAACATGGCATCAAAGCTTTACGGTATCAAACGCCAGTGAGTCCATATTCACTACCCTGATGTTGGCAACTTTGGCTGACTAGCTTCAGCCGAATCCAGTCCGCAACCTCTTCAACCACCTCACCATGCCCCTGGATATACATTCCCTTTACCTAATAACCACAATTATCAACAGCTCTGAATCTCTAAAAGAACTAATGCAACTTAACGTATGTTAAGCAAGATATCTCTAGTAGCTCAACTGACACAGTAGTTCCTTAAAACACCTGGGACCACATGGTATCAATATTCAATAATGTAATCCAGTACTTCACACCTTGGCATCTTTTTCTTTCTTCTCATAGCTAGGTAAAGGACAAGTAAGTGCATTAAACTCTATGCAATTGGCCAATAGTGACATAGTAATTCTAGTACTGAATATGGAGTATAAATGTTTGTTATAGATTCAATAAGTTGCATCCTAACTGTGAAATTAACAACTTAATCTTTGTCTAAAGCATCAACAGTTAATTTAAACAATACAATAAAGAATATAGAACATGACTACATATAAAATGGAAACAGTATCAACAACAACTATGGCTGCTAACATTGTGGCCTTAACTCCTTAAGAATCATATCATACTCGCTTCACAAAATATGGGACTAGTACAAGGAATAGAGGAAAAAGTACAGAGATACCTTGAACATACATTATCAAATCCAGGGTGATTATTCAAGCACATGCTCCGTATACTCATCATCCAAAGTATAAAGCAAGGGAACTGCAACAAAATAGAGAGGGCAGAAGAGATGAGAACATAATTAGGAACAACAAAATGTACATTTCAAAATCAACTGACATCATCATAAGATCTGTAACTAATATTAAACTATGTGAAGGGCAGAAGCCAAAAGATCTTATCACAATATTTATATCATTACCTGTACCGAAAAATAGGCAAAATTCCAAAGAAATGAGGGACAACCAAACTCCTTCTTTTTCTTCTGGAACAGAGCATACTGTTCACGGAAGTTATTTCCAGGCTGAGGAGTGGGTAATGAAGTGGACACTTCAAAAAAAAAGATATAGGAGAGTCCAATCAGAAACACATGGAAAATGCACAATCTATTAAAGCCAATGCCACAGATGTATCTTTGAAATCAGGCTCCCCTAACATAAGCATTTTGAGTCAAACAATATACTAGGCAGTAGGCGTTATCATACTATTACATCAGGAGGGGGTATTGATCATTTTGTTTGTTTGAATCAAGGCACAGGGGTATTGATTGTTAATTGTCACTGGATGCTAAACATATTAAATTACATAAACTAAACCATTGGGAATTTAGAATATACTTCTGCTCAACTTCTGCAAGTTGAATAAAGATATTGATCATTTTTGTTTACGGGCACCTGATAGCCGATGTGTTGTTGCGTCACCAGACAATATGAAGCTTGCAGAGCAGGCAGTAGAACTTACATTTTCGGAATACTTCACCAATTTTAGCAATCTTCTGAAGCTGCACTATGAGGGCAGGAAGTATCAACAGTCTCATGGCCACAGTAGAAAAGGAGATTGTCATCCACCTGTGGTGAACATCAACAATTAAACTTAAACTAGACTCGTTGGCTCAATGACAGGGGATATCCATAATATATGCAAAAATACAAGCAAAAACGATATTCCAAGCAAAAGCATAGCCTCAAATTAGCACGAGAGAATGTGTTGCCAAAAATAACGGGAAATGGAAAGCTTTTTTTTCAGCAGTAAGAGGCCAACCACGGCAGTCCGGTGAGGCTATGGAACCCGTCCATGAGGTCCAAAACTGTGCTAACAGACAATTCCGACACTCCCCCGACGCCGTCGGCCGTGGCGCCGGCGGCACCTCCCACGGCATCCGCCGCAGCACCCGCTCCGTTGGCGACCCCTTCCCCATCATCAACAGTTGTCACGCCATCCAAGTACACGCTTTCCTTCTCGGTGTACACATCCTCTCCGGGAGCGTCCGCAGCAGCGGTGCCGGGACTGGGACCAGACCCGGAGGCGGAGCCGGAGCGGGAGTACCATGAGAAGCTTCGCGAGTGAAGAGCAAAAGGAGGGAGCTCACGAGGGGGCAACGGGAGCGCGGGGATCGGAAGTGGGTGGTGGTGGTGGTGGCACGGGCTCTGGGAAGCAGCAGAGAGGTGAGCAACGGCGGCGGCGAGCGGCGACGGGAGGAGCTGGCGGCGGCCGATGAGGCGAACCGCAAGCGCCATGGCGTTCGTCACGTGGATGCAAGGGACAAGGGCTAAACCCTTGACACGTGCAAGCTCCTAGCTGCTCGATCGGTATCGGACGGCTCAGATCGACTAAAACCAATAATTTGTCGGAAGGACCTCTCATTTTCTCTCTAATTGCCGTTAAGGCATACGCTTCTTCCCCCTCCTCCACACAACCCCCCACCCCCCCAACCATAACCAGTAGGACGGAGCGGGGTGAGAAGGCGAACCGTCCGTTTAGGTTCACGCGCCCACTGTGCCGCGTCACGTCACCTCCCTCCGAAGATTGTGCACGCTATCTCTGGCCGTGCCCTCGAAGGACACGCCGGATGACGGTTCGCCCGGTCGATGGGCCAAGAACCGTCGCAGGTAAGCAGGGATGCAGAGCTGAAAACGCTTCTATGGCCCATTCAGGACTAGGAGTTCAAAGGCTGTCCCGCCGACAGGTTCACAGCCGCTCTAGGGCACCCTTAGTGCGAGGGGTGGAAAGGGATGGGCCCACTAGCGGTCAGTACCCGGGCGCACGAGCGCCACGGCCATCTCGGCCCATGTTCGAGTCTTGGTCGGTTCCTAGTTTATGGTTTTTCCTCGAAAAAAGGCAACAAGCCCTTGGGACCGGTCGAACGGACCCAAGAACTATATGGATTGGCCGCCAAGAGTCTAGAGTCGGTCACCAGCTGACCCATGCCAGACCCTCATGAACGGGAAGCCAGGGCCCCACTCGGACTAGCCTGTTAACAGCTCACCGAGCACCATGTTTCGTCCATCGAGGGAAAACGTGGCATGGCTCAGCCCCTCCATTTTATCGAAAAAAACGCTCGAGGGATGACGATCACAAAGACGAGCCGACCCTCGATCGGACCCTTGCTACGAGTGGGGGCTCGAGGGAAGTTGGACTCGCAAGGAGACCGAACGCGCGATCGCAGTACGACGGTGGACCGATCGGATCCTAGGGGACCGGAATGAAGAAAAATATTTCCGACCTCCCGAATCCTACGGTTATATGCCCCCAAGAAGACTGATCGTGACAAAAGGGAATCGTCGTCCTACTAGGACACGCCGCGGGTTAAAAAAGAAGGCCAAGGTCCTCAGAGTCCTCCCGTCCGAAAAAGTCTCCAAAGGAGTATTCTACTCCTCCGCAGGCTCGAGGGCTACTGTCGGGCATCGATATTAGGGATACCCAGAGCAAGAAAGTTAGCGCCCACGCTGGCTTACCCGGATGGCTCGAGACGTATAAAAAGGGCTCGCCCGACCCCAAGGCCGCAAGCTCTGTCTTGCCCGACCTCGAGGCCGCGGGCTCCGTCTCGTCCGACCCCTTGGGTGCAGGCTCCATCTCGCCCGACCCCAAGGATGCGGGTTCCGTCTCGCCCAACCTCGAGGCCGCAGGCTCCGTCTTGCCTGACCTCGAGGCCGCGGGCTCCGTCTCGCCCGACTCTAGGGACGCGATTTCCATCTCGCCCAAGGTCGTGGGCTCCATTTTGCCCAACCTCGAGGACGTGGGTTCCGTCTCGTACAACAGGGACCATACCTCCGCCAACCACTCCAGGTCCAAGCGTATGGACCTAGGTCAAAACTCCGACGCCAGGGAAGAGGCTAGCACGCCTCGATGTAACCCGTGACCATGATGGGCCATACTTGGGGATTCACATCAAGAACAGTGTCGGGCGTGCCGGTGCTGTTCTGCATAATCCTCGTACGGACGCTGATAGGTGCGTTAGTTCACCACGATGTCCGTCGGAACGGAGTGGAATGCCATGACCGGCAGATGACGCCTGCGCATGACGCCAGTGACGAACAGGGCCGCGACATGGAGTCGTCCCTGTTGACATCTATAGGATCGGTAGGACCCGCATGAAGGAGAAGGACCCAGCAGCCCTGGAGGCCTTCTCTCTCTCGTTCTTCTCTTTTTCCTCCTCTGTGACCTGCGCTTTCCCTTCGCCTATAAAAGGGGAAGCAGGGTGCCCCATGAAGGGGGGATCTTGACACAAAAACACGACATGAGCACATGGCTGAGCGGCAAGTGAGCTCTCAGCACCCGCTCACTCCTTCCACTAGAGACTTGGGATTCTCTCCCTCTCTCGCATGTTTGTAACCCCTACTGCAAACCAAGTGTTGGTAACACGAGCAACAACGAACTGGACGTAGGGACGTTCTGCCCGAACCAGTATTAGCCTTGTGTCCTCCGAGCACACCATCCGATCCAGACGCTCAAATACAAATTTACTCGTCGGTGGTCCGAAAACACCAACAAAAGGCATGCTATTGTCATGTTCACTTTGTATCCTTATATGATCATGTTCAGTTTTTCGTCTGGTTTGACTCATGCATATCTCGCATAAAGAACTACTGCAAAGTTCCTTCTCCTTTCATTATATTTTTCTCTATACACTACATTGGTGCTCTTGGTACTATCTTTTTCTTGAGAGGTTGATGCATTGATGTCATGTTCTTGTTATAAATGCCAACACTTGGTGCTCTTGCAATCTGTAACAGGCTGCTGGGAGTTCTTAGGGTATTAGTGGTGGGGCAGGAGTTCAGGGCCAGTATGCACCTGCCGCTGTTCTTGGGAGAGTGGCTCAGCCTCGCCCCACAGGTATGGCTCCCCAACTAATGGGCAGTCGGTCAGATCCTCTTCAAGGAGATGATGAGGAGACCAGGAGACTACGTGCAGAGCGAGCAATAAGAGCTGGTGGATGGACTGCTGAACTGAGCAAGAGAAGAGCACTGGAGGAGGCATTTAGCGCCATATTCATCTAGGACAACTGCACAACGTTGGATGGTCTATACTGCGAAACCTTCATTGGGACATGGAATTCTCATAGATTTTAGTGAAGTACTACCTATTAGCACCAAGTGAGCCTGCGTCGCAAAAGCATCCTTTGTGTGCAAGCTAGAAAATGCACATTGCTGTGTACCTTGTTCGTCTCAGGTCATCGTGACAGTCAAGACTTGTGATTGTTCTTTTGTATAAGGACATGATACGCTTTACGAGCCTAAGGTCATTGTGACAGTCAAGACTTGTGATTGTTCTTTTGTATAAGGACACGATACACTTTACGAGCCTCGCTTCTCACCCTCTGTCCCAAATTACTGGTCGTTTTGGATTTTCTAGGTGCATAGTTGTTGCTATGTACCTAGATATACGATATGTCTAATAGATAATAAAAGTTGTGTATCTAAAAAAGTCAAAACAACCTATAGATTGGGACGGAGTGAGTAAAAAGAAATTGTCCCATGATATTTGTTTTTGTGAGAATTTTTTTTTTCAAATTCAAATATTCAATCTACTGTGAGTGTGTGAGTCATTGACCTCTTCTAACTGTGTCTGATTCAGACAACTAAATGTATCCTTCACTCTTAAAGTTATAGCATGTCAAGTACTCTCTCTAGATCAAGGGGGGCTGTCTGCAAGAGAACAAAAAAGACATACTGTAGGCTACCAAGAGCTGTGAAGTACAGTAGAGAACCAAGAAAAGGATCTTGACAAGGTTCAACAAACAATCTATATATCATACAAAATCAACAGGGATCTAGTAAGGAATTACACTACAAGGTGGATTTCTCATGACTTTGCAGGGAATATGGTTATGCGCCTCAAAAAAACATGGTTCTTAGGTCACATGCCTGGAATTTAGACCGGAAAACATCTTGTATGTCTGAAAACATTACATCCCACATTAGAAGGCCAAAGATAGTCATCCAAATGCCACCTTCCGAATGGGTACCTTGCCAACCGCCACCTTCATCAGCATAATATTGTAAATTCAACTGCTCTACCCCACAAAGTTCCCCATCATAACCATAAAATACATTCTTTGCTCTTGTCTCTTGCAATTCGATCAATGGCCTTCCTTCAATGCTTACCTATTAATAATTGAAGAATAACAAGCATAGATTATTTAGCATTAAAATGCAACAGACCAAAAATGTGAACTTTTGCCATCAATGACAGTGAGGGTGATATATAGCTCTCTTGTATTTTTTTAACATAATCAGAATAATTAGGAACTTCCCACCATTGTGGAGGTTTGCTTAAACGCAGAACTCTCCTTTGCAACACGAACTTTGAACCAGCACGGACTTATGGATCAATTGTTCCTCCTTCAGCTATGGATAGGTCTCATTTGGATGACCCATATGCTCCAAATCAACAGATAGCCTCAGTGCCCAATATCATCGCCGTCTATCACAAGCAACTTTACTAAGTATCTTTAGAATCCCTGTTGCATCTTCATACCATATAAATTTTGATTGGCATCAAATTTGGATCCCTAGAAACTAACAAGATTTCTAAGAAGGTTTCTGAGGAAATAGTTTAATGAGCCCTTTAACAGAAGGGCATGTAAAAGTGTATGTGCAACAAATTGCCATTGTGTCACATGCTCAAGTATTTATCACCGATCACACTTAAAAGTGTCCCAATATGAATTCAAGTTGTAGAGAAAGAAAAACTACAACTTTGTAGTTTATGAGTTTTTCATTTAAGATCGTTTAGATACCTAAAAGGTTGATACAATGTTTAGATCTAGATCTATATTTGTAGATCGAAACATTATATCAATTATTTTGGTACCAAGATGCCTTCAAACGAAATTATTGTGAGCTGAAAGGTTTTACATTTATCATTCAATGCAATTCATATATAAATTTTATCTTTATATGTGACTATATAAATAAGTTATAATTTTTTAAAGATGTGTTATGAAAGGGTGCAAATAAATTGCTTCAATTTATCCACTAGATAGCGCAACATATTTTAGAAAAAAAACATAACTTCTTCATATAACCTCGTATAGGGATAATGTTTATAAATATATTGTAGATACCTAAGATATCTACAATTTTGTAGTCTACAATATTTTCATTGAACCCATCTTGATATCTAAATGAACAATTTAATGTTCAAATCTACAAATACACATATGAACATTGTACCAGTTTTTATATCAAAACAAACTCAAATAAAAAAATCATAAACTACAAGTTGTAGATCTCTT